TTGAGCTATTGGTGATGGCCATCCTGACTGGAGTTAGGTGGTATCTCCATGTAGTTTTAATTTGCACTTCTTTTTTTTTGAGTTGGAGTCTCACTCTGTCGCCCAGACTGGAGTGCAGTGGCTGCTTCCGGCCACTGCCTCGACCTGCTGGGCTCCGGCAATCCTTCCGCCTCAGCCTTCCAAGTAGCTGGAATTACAGGCATGCGCTACCACGCCCGGCTGATTTTTTGATTTATTGTAGAGATGAGGTCTCGCTGCCCAGGCGGGTCTCGAACCCGCAGGCTCAGGCAATCCACTCACCTCAGCCTCCCAAAGGTGCGGGATTACAGGCTGAGCCACCGAGCCCGGCTTAATTTGCATTTCTTTGATGACTAGTGAGGCTGAGCATTTTTTCACGTATCTGTTGGCTGCTTGTATATCTTCTTCTGAGAAATATCGATATATATCTCTTGCCTACTTTGTAATGAGGCTGTTTTTTTCTTTTAGGCACATTTGAGTTCCTTGTAGATCCTAGAGGTTAGGCCTTTGTCAGACATACAGTTGGAAAATATTTTTTACCCAGTCTGTGGACTGTCTCCCTGCTCTCTTGATGCTTTCTTTGGCTTTGCAGAAGCTTGTCAGTTTGATGAAGTCCCACTTGTCTATCTTATCTCTTATGGCATAGTCATTTGGGGTTTTGACCAGGAATTGGTTGCCAGTTCCAATTTCCATAAGGATGTCTCCTGCGTTTTCTAAGGTTCTTATAGTTTGAGGTTTCCCGTTTAGGTCTTTGATTCATTTAGACTTGACTTTTGTGTATGGTGATCGGTAGGGGTCTAGTTTTAATCTTCAGCATGTTGACCTTGTTTTTTGTAAAACTAATCTATCAATATCTGGTTTGATGAAAGTAGTTGCAATTCTTAATGAGTGCTCGAGGTGCTTGTCAGAAATATTTGTTCAGATTTTGCTCTTCGTGTGCTTCAATATTGAAAACAGCTGCTCACAAAGGTATGCACTGCCAAAAAGTGATGCTATGAATAAGGCATGATTGTGAAGAAGGGATATTTTTCTCTAGGAAGATAGGTCTTATAAAAGTCCAATAAAGAGACATGGTCAAATTTTACTTTCAGTTGAATGTCTGGCTGCAACTCTGCATTCCATTGGAAAATTTACAGGTAAAATATTAATGTCAACTGAAAATGGCATAGCAAATATAGGAAAATAGTGATTATTTTGCCAGAAATCTTGTAAACTGTTTTCAAATTCCTATGTTAAGACAGAAAGCAAAACTGTATATTTTTGGCAGTTCATAGGACTGAGTTTAGCCAATGTAACAAAATGTGTTATTTTCCATACTTTAAGTTTGCCATAATTTAAGTTTCATTACTGTATTGCTTTGGAACTTCAAAAATGGAACTAGGCTGGGCTCGGTGGCTCAGCCTGTAATCCTAGCACTTTGGGAGGCTGAGGCGAGTGGATTGCCTGAGCCTGTGGGTTCGAGACCAGCCCAGGCAACTTGGCAAAACCTCACCTCTATAATAAATCAAAAATTAGCTGGGCATGGTAGCGTGCACCTGTAGTTCTGGCTACTTGGAAGGCTGAGGCGGAAGGATTGCCAGAGCCTAGCAAGTCGACGCTGGGGTGGCTGTGAGTATGCCACTGCACTCCAGCCTGGGTGATGGAGTGAGACTCCAACTCAAAAAAATAAAATGGAACTACACATAGGGTCATGAAGAAAATAAACCCTAAAAAGCACATGGTGTTAAAAGATTTTGTGGGGCCACATCACTAGCTGTCCTGGGTCACATGTGGCCCACGGGCCATGGGTTGGACGTGCCTGGTCTAGTAGGAGAGACAGACACATAAGAAGTTACAACACCACGAGTAATCAGGGCAACACCAGAATTGGGCCCAAGATGCCGTGAGAACTCAGAAAGTAAGAACTTATTACGCCATACACAACTCATTTTAGCCCAGTCTTCCAAACAGTTGTGTATCTAAGAGTTGGTGATACAGAAAATACCTTAGTGGTAAAGGTTATCAGTTAAATGTTAAAATTTTTCCAGCGTTTCTACCTAACCTATGTTTAGGTAACATAAAACAGTAATAGAATTCAATGTCTATTTCTTCTTTTTTATTCTATTTCTTTCTTTAATGTTCTATAGTTTTCATATACTCTGCTTCACAGTTCTCAAAGGAATATTTTGATTCATAAATGTTCGATCAGACCTAAAAACAGAATTTCAATAGTTGGAGTTTGTTATATGTAAGATGCAGCACTAATATTTAAATTGAATGGGAAATTTTAAAATGGAATGTAAACTTCCATTTAAAATGGAATGTACTTGAGAAACGTAAAGGTTGTCAGATAAGGAACGAATGAGGGATTACCCCAAACTTTACATCATCACGGAAATAGGGATGGAAACTCTGCCTTTTCTCAACACTGCATTCACCTTTCCCTCAAGCCTCAACCTATGTGAGACTCTATCTGTGCTGTGAAACTGAAGACCTAATTAAGCACTATTGCATGGTCTTGCCTCCTGGACCAGATTGAATCCCTCTAGAGCATTTCTGGCCTAGGACACAGGAGCTGCTGACCTGACACTGTCTTCTGGATGAGCCAGGCAATGGTGTGTTTTGTGGGCATCAGACAAAGCGGTGGGCACCGCTCTGGGATATTTTTGCTCCTAAGCAGAAGCTACAGCATTCCACGGCAGTGATGCCACCACCTGGGCATGCAGGTTGGGGAGGGTGGCCACTTGGCCTTTGCTCTCTATCCAAGGGACATGTTCAAAGAGAACTGTCTGTTATCTGCTCTTGTTGGAAGCAAGAAAGGACCAGTGTATTCAATGATCCGCACAGAACCAATCCCTCTGGCCAGAGTTCAGGACAGTATTGCTTCACTCTATACGAGAATTTTATCTTATTTAGCTCTTAGTGGCAAGACCAATGTTTCTCTCGATACCTTGCAGGTGTTTTTTAAAAGCAACTAAAAAGTAAATTGATATGATTTCAAAACTTTTTAACTCCCTGACTGTAATGACAAGGAAACTAACATTGTGATATTAGTCTGGTGCTCCAAACTAGAAGGAAGAATATTTGCAAGAATAAAAGGCTACTGTCCACATGCTTTTTCATTGCAATACTGACAATATGATAAGAGCTCAAAAGGAGGTAGCCACAGCCCCACCCATCACAGAGCCTCTGCCCAGTTTTTTGGTTTTTTATTTTTATTTATTTATTTATTTATTTTATTTTCCCAAGTTCTCACTCTGTTGCCCAGGCTGGAGTGCAGTGGCACAATCATGGCTCACCACAGCTTTAACCTCCTGGGCTCAGGCAATCCTTCCACCTCAGCCTCCCGAGTAGCTGGGATTACAGTTGCATACCACCATGCCTAGTTAATTTTTTATTTTTTTGCAGAGGCAAGGTCTTGTTATGTTGCTCAGGCTGGCCTTAAACTCCTGGGCTCAAATAATCCTCCTGCTTCAGCCTCCCAAAGTGCTGGGATTACAGGTGTGAGCCACCATACCCGGCCAACTACCCAGTTTTTATTAGGATAAGCTTCATGGTTAATAGAGTTAGTGACTGCAGCTTTTGAGCTTTCTTTTTTCATAGTGAAAAATATCTTAAGTAATGCTTACCTCCACTGTCTTGCTTGTCATTTGAAGAAATCTTCCTTCAGACACAACACAGGATAAAATCTGATAGAAAAACTACATGGATTCACAATTTGGTTTACACTAATAGAATGTAGAGAAAGAAAGTCTTTTAAGCCCTATAAAAGCTTAACATTTCCAAATGGGAAAACAGTTCTGGAAGCTTAGTGTCACCTGTCAGCCTCATTGAGTGATTGGAGACTCAGCCGAGCTCAGGGAGGTGGGCCTGGAGCTGAGCCTCAAGAAGGAAGTGAGGGACAGGGCGGTTCAGGCAGGTGCACTGGGCAAAGGCACAGGCATGAAGTCGTGAAATAGCGGTACTCAGTGCCGCTGGATTCCTGGGGGCATAGAGGGACAGTGATGAGTGCTTCATCAGGTGGGACACCTGATCCAAAGGGCCCAGAGTGGGTGCTGAGGAGATGTGGCTTTAGTTTGGAGGTGACAGGAAGTGGTTTAAGGTGTTTGACAAAGAGCGTGGTATAGACTAACACAGGAGGAACCACTCTTTTGTCATTGTGCCCATGTGGAGAATGTCTTTCGCTTGCTAGTTGAAATAGTCTAGCATTGTCTGGGACTCACCTACTTAGTTGTTTTTTTTTTAACTCCACTAAGTATTTGCTTCTGTATAATCATTTCTAAGGACCGCCTACATGAGTTGCCTTCATAGGTACAAGGAGAATGTATGAGAGTGAATGTCGTACCCAACACTCATGCTGACTGCTTGGTCCCCTGCTCCCCACACCCCTCAGCCCAAGTCACACTGGCTCCTTGTTCCTAGAATGTGCCAGCAGGTTTCAGTCCTGGGGCCTTTGCACCTGGAGTTCTCTTTGCTGGGACATTCTCCCCTAAGACATCTACACAGCTCACTCCCTCATTCCCTGAGGTCATTCCTGCTCCCAGTCAGCAAAGTCTTCCCTAGCTTTCCTGTATAAAGTGATATCTATTCCCCATCCATTCTGACCTATGTTGTCTTCTCACTTCCAGACCTTCCAGGCATGTGTGTGTTTGTTCACCATCTCTGTCCCTCTTAGGTGCTCCATGACAGCAGGGACTTCGTTTTTGTCTACTGCTGTATCCCCAGTACCTCAAATACAGTGGATTGAGCTCAGCACAGAGTGTGTAATCAAGAACAAATGAATGATTCCCAGCTTGATAGACTCTGGCTCCTTCAACATTTTGTTGTTTAAAGATTGTTTTCATTTTCTTAAGTGCTTATCAAGAGTCAAGCCTAGAGAAGAGGTTCATCAGTGTTATTGTTTAGATTATGAATTCAGGCATATCCTCAATGATAAATGATGTTTCAGTTAAGAAAAAAAGTTCTTATATATCAGTTCAACTGATTATTCTCTTTCCTTCCAGTAGACTGGAGCTCAGTTGCGTGACCAGCACCATCTAGTCAAGATGGTGGACACAGAAAGCCCAATTTGCCCCCTCTCCCCACTCGAGGCTGATGATCTGGAAAGCCCATTATCTGAAGAATTCTTGCAAGAAATGGGAAACATCCAAGAGATTTCTCAATCCATTGGTGAGGACAGTTCCGGAAGCTTTAGTTTCACAGAATACCCATATTTAGGAAGTGGTCCTGGATCAGATGGATCTGTTATCACAGGTAAGTGTGCTATTTCCTAGAAAGTTTTATTTAGAAAAAAATTTTTTTTTCCTCAGAGAAAATTGTTCTCTTTAGCCAGAAAATGAGTCTTACCTTTTTGCAAAGACATCTTCAGACATGGTAAAGCATCACGTTCAGTGCCGCTGGGACACAGAAGATTTTAAAGTGCCCCTCATGGAATGCCTTCTTTAAAAAGTTATACATGAGTCAAACAATGCTTGAAATTCAGTTATGGAGAACAGTTGAAAGTGCACAGACCCTAAAATGCAGCAAGTCCTTTGGGGACAGGTAGACATTATTTAACAGGAGATCCGTACAAGGGTCTGCATTGACTCGCTATTCGCTATAGTGAAGAATAGGAAAAAAGCTGAACATATAAAGGAAATGGGTCAGTTGTGATGACTTCATACAGTGAAATACTTGATAGTAATTTAAAAGAATGAACTAGTTCTACATGTGTCAACATGAATCCATCTAAAAACAATGTTGCATGAAAATAAACGAGCTTCAGGATATAGTCAGTGCAATTCAATTTGTGTAAAATCTTAAACACTAAACAATGCAGTATCTCATCAGTGGATACAGATGCACGCATTGCAAAGTGTATTTCAGCTTTAAGGTCTCAGTCACCTCCTGAGAGAGAGGGAGGTGGGATCGGGAAGGAGATTCATGGGGACTGTAAGTCTCTCTAGGTTGTATTTTTTAAAGAGACATGAAGCAATATGATAAATGTGGGTGGTGTGTATGTAGGTATTACAGTCATGCGTCACTTAATGGCAGGTATACTTTCTGAAAAATGCATCATTAAGCAAGTTGGTCGTGGTGTGAACATCACAGAGCGCACTTACACCTAGATGACATAGCCAACTACACACCTAGGCTGTATGGTATAGCCTATTGCTCCTAGGCTACAAACCTATACAGCGTGTTACTATACTGAATACTGGAGGCAACTGTAACACAATGGGAAGTATGTGTGTATCTAAACCTATTTAACAGAGGAAAGATACAGTGAAAAACATGGTGTAATCTTATGGGATCACAGTCAGATGTGCAGTCTGTTGTTGGCCAAAATTCCATCATGTGGCAGGTGACTATACAGAAATAAACTCAGAGAAAGTAAGTAACTTGCCCAGGTTCACACATACAGTTAGAAAGAAATGGTGTCAAGCCTGGATTGCCCCTTGCAGCTGGCTCTAAGGCTCTGTTCTTTGCACCTTAGCATGAATAAGCCTTGTAAAAGGCAGCAGCATCCTCAACTTAGTAAATCAGGAATTGTGCGATGCAAGTAAGACACTAAGGACTCAGGGGGAGTTTTTGTGATGGAGCAACCTTTGTAGAGACTCCAACAGACCTTTACAAATGGTTCAAGTTTTGACTCCTTTTCACATGACATATTACACAAAGGATGAGATTTGGAAGAAGCAGCAGGGGTGCGGGGTGATGGCAACTTCCAGAGCAGCGAGGGAGGGATAGCAGAAAGGGTGGAGGGGAGCAGGTAAAAGTCTTCAGGTCAGGTGCTGCCTCAAGGAGGCTGGATACGTCGCCTTGCCGAAGACCTTGGTTAGTGACCATGACACTGATGGCATCAGCTTCTGGGCACCATGCAAGCCACCTGTGCTCTCCGGTTTATTGCTGTGTTTATTTAACATATGTGGAAAGGAGGCAGGCCCCAGGACATCGTAACAAGCTGGAGATCACAAGCCCAAGAGAACCAGGGTCAAAACCCAGGGTCAAAATGAGTCCTTCCTTTACCCCATCATAGATACAACCCATGCTGGTTAATTGTTTTCTTATATTGACTATTGGTAGTGTTTATCAGAAAATTATTATTTTTTTCTCTATGGATCTGAAAAGGTTTATCTGGTTTTGTTTGTTTTCCTTTATCTTTTCTTTCTTTCCTTTTTTTTTTTTTTAAGGAAGTCAGCCTCCCCGCCCCGCTCCCTGTCCCCAGGGGCAATAATATAGTTCATTTTATAATGAAAGAGTTCAAAGATATGCTTTTTTCTTTAGGTCAGATACACTAGAGGTTGTTCTGAAATAAAGAGTTTGGGTGGGTTGGGTAGGTGTGCAGTTGTAAGACCTCTGGAAAGTTCCTTCCCAGCAGTGGATCGGAGGAATGTTCAGACTCCCTCCTGCCTTCCCCAGAAGATCAAGCTCCCACCAGGGCCTTTGCTCTGCTCTCAAAGCAGAGAGATTCAAAATCACGATCCTCTATCCAATTAATTCAAGGTTCCTTTTCTAAGACAAATGTCTTTTAGGTCATTGTCAAAAACTGTAACCTAAAATATATTCCTAACTCATCTGAAAGTTATGACACAGGTAAGGCTTGAAAAGTTTATGCCAACTAGCCTCAGGGTCTAGCAAACCATTGAAGCATGATGTTAGCTACAGTTTTTCTTAGGTTCCCTTTATTAAGTTGAAAAAGTTCTTTCCTATTTCTAGTTTGCTGTGTGCTTTTATCAAGAATTGATGTTGGATTTGGTAAGATACTTTTTCTGTAGCTAGTAAGATGATCAAATGGTTCTTTTTTATTTGTTAATATGGCGAATAACATCGTTTGAGTCTCAAAGGTTAAGCCAATCTTGCATTCCTAGGATAGATCCTTCTTGATCATATTGCATTACCCTCTTTTTTGGAAGGGAGGGGTTAGAGTCTCACTCTGTCACCCAGACTGGAGTGCAGTGGCATAATCAAGGTTCAGCACAGCCTTAACCTCCTGGACTCAGACAATCTTTCTGCCTCAGCCTCCCAAATAGTGGGACTATAGACACATGCCACCATGTCTGGCTAATTGTTTTATTTTCTGCAGAAACAAAGTCTCACTATGCTACCTAGACTGGTCTTGAGCTCTTGGACTCAAGTAACTCCTCCTACCTCGGTTTCCCAAAGTGCTGGGATTATAGGCATGAGCCACCACGCCCAGCCTATCCGGTTATATTATTGGACTTCACTTGCTAAAATTTTGTTAAGAATTTTTGCACCCATGTTCCTGAGGGAAATTGATTGTAGTTTCCTTTTCTTGTAATATCTTTGTCTGGTTTTGGCATCAGATAAGTTTTTTGCCCTGTAGAATGAGCTAGGAACTACCAGTTGAGCAGCCCTAATTCAAAATGCTTGGGACTAGAATTGTTTTGGATTTCAGATGTTTTCAGGTTTTGTAATATTTCCATATATACAAAGCGATATCTTGGGGATAGGACCCAAATCTAAATACACAAACAAAAAAATTGATTTATATTTTATGTACATCTTATACACATAGCCTGAGGGTAATTTTATATAATATTTTAAATAATTTTGTGCATTTTGTTGCAACCTGTCAGATTAGGTCCGATGTGGAATTTTTCAATTGTAGCATCATGTCAGCATTCAAAAAGTATCAGATTTTAGAGCATTTTGGATTTGGGATTTTTAGATTAGGGATGGTCAACCTATATTTCCTCCCCTTCAGTCTTCTGGAAGTATTTCTGTAGATCTGATATTTGTTCTCCCTTAAATGCTTAATTGAGTTTACAGATGAAGCCATCTGGGTCTGAAGTTTTCTTTATAGAAGGGTCTTTTAACTCCATATTGAATTTTTTAAATAGATATATGGCTATTCAGTTTCTCTCTCTTGAATAGACTTTGGTAATTTATGTCTTTTAAGGAATATTTATTTCATCTAAGTTGTTGAATTTATTGGCATGAAGTTGTTAATTTTTTATTATTCTCCTAATATCTGTAGTATCTATAATGATATCACCTCTTTCATTTCTAACTTATAACTTACATAACTTCTCTCTCTTTTTTTCTGATCAGTCAGGCTAGATGCTTATGAATTTTATTGATTTTCCCAAAGAACTAGACTTTTGTTTTATTTTTTCTATATTGCTTTTTTGTTTTCTATATCATTTAGTTCCTCTGTAATCTTTATTATTTCCTTTCTTCTGCTTATGTTGTATCTAATTTGCTCTCCTTTTCCTAGTTTCTTAAGTTGTCATTGATTTGAGACCTTTCTTCTCTTCTAATATTGGTATTTAGTGCTATAAATTTCCATTTAAGTGCTCCTTTAGTGTTATGTGATAAATTATGGAATGTTGTGTTTTCATTTGCATTCCATGCAAAATATTTTCTAACTTCCTTTTTTATTTCTTCTTGAATCCATGAGTTATTTAAGGTTTATTCTTGACTTTTGAAATATTTGAGAATTTTTAGGTATATTTCTGTTATTAATTTCTAATTTAGTTCCATTGTGGTCAGAGAAAGTACTTTGTTTGACTTGAATCCTTCTGAATTTATTAAGAGCTATATATGCTGCAGAATGTGGTCCGTCTTGGTAAAAAGTGTTCCATGTACACTTAAGGAGGATATGTAGTCTGCAGTTGCTAGGTGAAGTATTCTGTAAATATCAATTAGATCAAGTTGGTTATTAGTATTGTTCAAGTCTTCCATATTCTTACCAATTTTCTATCAACTTGTTACATCAGTTATTGAGAGAGGGGGGTTGAAAGTGTTGGTAAAAAGTGTTCCATGTATACTTAAGGAGGATATGTATTCTGCAGTTGCTAGGTGAAGTATTCTGTAAATATCAATTAGATCAAGTTGGTTATTAGTATTGTTCAAGTCTTCCATATTCTTACCGATTTTCTATCAACTTGTTACCTCAGTTATTGAGAGAGGGGGGTTGAAATTTCAAATTATAATTATAGATTTGTCTGTTTCTCCTTTTAGTTCTACCAGTTTTTATTTAGTATATTTTGAAACTCCATTATTATTATTGAGAAAGCAGGATTTATTGATAGGACAGAAAACCTCCCACAGTGGGAGAGGATCCAGAGGGGTTGCCCCAAAACTCTGTTATTAAGTGCATAAACATTTGGAATTGTTATGTCCTCTTGATGAATTGACCCTTTTATTATTATAAATGACCTCCTCATTCCAGGTAAAATTATTTGTTCTGAATACTACTTTGATATTAAAGCAGCTACTGCAGCTTTCTTTTGATTAGTGTTAATGCA